TGTTTATACTTGAATGGACCATGAGAGCAGTTTTATAATCTATTAGTGTGTTGAACAGCATCTTGTTGAGATTTTGGAAGTGTGGTAGCGTGTGTGCCATATAGTCAGGCACGAGCTTCCTTAGAACATCATCATCATCATCATCATCAGCCTGACTACGTCCACTGCAGGACAAAGGCCTCTCCCATGTTCAGGACCGGGTTAACTGGCGGAACATGGAAGAGGCCTTAGAACATATTCTATGGAAATGCCAGGGATTAAAACACAGAATTGAGAACGCGGCTTACACCGACCACCTCCGCGTGCGTTGGCTGGCCGTGCTGCTCAGTTCAGCCCTGGACTATTAGCTATCGGCAATCCAGCGGGCCGAGGAAGCCGCTAGGAGGCAAGACCTTCTAGCCAACACCTAGGCGGGAGCCCAGCTCACTAACACGCCGGATACAAAATATAGTTTATTCCACCTCCAAGAGTAAGCTAAATGGCTTATTTTAGGATGCGAAGCACCTCTTTGACTAGCCTGTGTAACGCTGTCCTTCCGTCCACACCGCTCCCCTCGCCACAGGTGTTAGAGCGGTGCCCAGTAGCTCACGCCCTCCTAGCAGTGCGCGGTGACGTCTCTCTCCCTCTCCAGCCGCGTGCTCCAGGCCGCCTACAATATGGACAGGCCGCCTACAATGTGGACAGGCCGCCTACAATCCCAGGCCGCCTACAATGTGGACAGCGCGCCACTGATGCCCACGCGATCGCGCCGATGGACGGGACGCTGTCGCGGCGTGCTTCCCTCTGATGTGCACGTACCTTTCCCGGTTGCCGCAGGCGTTGTGAGGGTATGCGAAGCCGATCGCGTTCGCGGGCAACGGCGTCAACACCGACGAGGCGCGAGCCATGGAAGCTGGACGCAAGCGTCGGCAGTGGAAGACCAGCGAGACCAACGAAGCGCGAGTCAAGAGCACCGATCGCGTTCGAAAATGCAGACCACTAGCGGTAATACCGACGAGACGCGAGCCGAGAAAGCCGAGCGCAAGCTTCTTCAAAGCATCCCGCCTCCCGTGGCTTTGCTTTTCAAACTAACGTTTACTTGAGCAAACGCTACACCTAGTTTCACTTCAAACCGTTTTAGATGCGGAAGCATCTTATACTCGCGCCTTGTAGTGCGCCGTCCGCGCCGTCCGCACCACTTCTCGACCATTCGACAGCTGACGCGCGCGCATGCGCCGTCGCGCCGTCGCCATCTGTGCCGCGCGCGCGCTTCTCCTTCGAGAACATTCAACAGCTGACAGTGCATGCGCCATCGCGCTGTATATATACTCAAGGTCGGCGCTCGCTCGCTCAGTTGCCGCTCGTCGGTTGGTTTGTACGGCGCGTCGACGTCCAAGGTCGCGGTGAAATGAATTCCAACGAATCCACAAACACAATGATCGACGTCCCTTCGAGCAGCGCCGTCCTTTCGCATACGTGTGTACGTGTTCACTCATTTAACACCCCCTCCTACAACCACGTTAACCAATTTAGCCATCGACCCAAGTAAGTCGCAATTTAACAGCCCATTTCACAACCACGTTAACCAATTTAGCCATCAACCCAAGTAAGTCGCACTTTAACACCCCGTTAACCAATTATATGCTCCGCATCCTCCTCAGTTTTCCCCCGAGGGAAGCTGCGGGCAATTTTTTTCGAGCATCCGCGTTCACACCTGTTTTAACCGGATCAACGCCATCGCACTCCTGCTGCTTCGCAACCCAGCAGGGTTCCATTTTGTGAGATTGTCTATAATTTTTTTAATGCTCGATAATAATGAGAACTAATAGACAGTGATGCCAAAGGAAGTATAGGAAATGTGTTTAAAAGTAATTGCAGTGTGAACGGGAAGAAAAAAACGTGGACGAAAGACCAACTTTCTGTCAGCAGGGACTAAACCTGCGACCTTGGAATAATGCGGCCAATGCTCTACCACTGAGCTACGACGTTGGCTATCTCTCCGTTTACTTTATATACAAGTTGATTTAATTGGGAGCAACAGTCAGCGCTACAGTAGCCATTATGATAATGTGAAACAGTCGTTTTTCGCCTGCTGGTGTCGCGTAGCCCGTGATCCCATTACAAGCTGGCAACTGACCAATAATGTGGTGGTAAGCCATGTTTCTATCTATATTTCAGAACACTCACGTCATGAGTAAATTTTTTATACTTTTCTTGACATCATTGTTTGTTAATTCTCACTAAAAGAGTAGAGTGAAGTTCAAATGTTTGACATCAATAATGTTAAAAATGTTTGCCATACCACGTTTTGGCATTTCCTTTTTGCATTTCTCACTGGAGTTAGGTGCCACTAGATATGCTGACCATGCATTGCATATACATCGACAGAGAACTAAGACAACTGCTGCATCAAAATAGAGATACTTTTACAGCGCAAGAGTGTCTGCATTTACATTAGGCCGTTCTTCCGAAGCAAGAATAATCACAGTAGTCAAGATACATAAATAACACATCAGTGACAAATAGTAGACAAAATATAAGTAACGCGTATCTAGTGCGCTTGCAAAACAGTGTTACAGCTTTTCATTTACTCTTCTTCTACTTTCTATGGAATGTTACTGAGGATATCTGCGGGGAAAGGTGGCTAAATGAGGAATAGGACATCGCTAAAAACAATGATCGCCTAAGCCAGCCTTCGATATCTCTATACAAGCAAGTGATTGCACTCGTGTATTGGCCTTGGGCACGTGTATTTTCTTGTGTATAATTGCCCCGCCACGGTGGTCTAGTGGCTAAGGCACTCGGCTGCTGACCCGCAGGTTGCGGTTTCGAATCCCGGCTGCGGCGGCTGCATTTTCGATGGAGGCGGAAATGTTGTAGGCCCGTGTGCTGAGAAGTTGGCATGCACGTTAAAGAACCCAAGGTGGTCGACATTTCCGGAGCCCTCTACTACGGCGTCCCTCATAATCATATGGTGGTTTCGGGACGTTAAACCCCACATATCAGTGAATCAATCATGATGTCTAATCAACTGACGTAATGTATTCTCTATACTTGTGTTGTTGAAACTCCGGTTGTTACAGATGCGTTTGTCGCTAGGTTTGACCTTGTCGGCTGTCCACTTCCAAAAACGAGCATGTTTAAGCTCGCGCGCGTACTATCAGTGTCAAATGAAATCTGAACAGCGTGAAGCCTTCGAGGTGGTAGAATACTTGCTGTGCAGCTATCACCACGGGCAAGCACACATATATGCGCAGAGCTGCCGAACTGTATGCGCGCGCCTATCAACGGTGATAACTGGAGGGCGCGCACTACACTGTCGCGAAGGCTTGGTGTTGTTCGGGTTTCATTTAAGGCTTATAGTACATTTTATACAAAAGTTCTTTTTTTTTGCTCGTCCCTCTTCATGCAGATTTGTACTTTTCTTAGGTTATTTCAACTTGAATCAGTGATCTGTGCACAAACACTTCAATGCTGTTGCTAGTTTAAATTTACTTATTTCTTTTCGGTGCCTTGAAAAACTTGTAATAAAAAATGAGCGTCCCTGCTGAGTCATTTATCACACCAAATGTGCAAAAATTCACAAGTCAGTCAACAACCCAAAACAAGCTAATCTACTGCGATGGATCAGCGTTATGATGCTCAGTTGTTGACGCATAAATTGCGGGTTTGAACTCCGCCGCTCCTATTGCCTTCGAATGCGGGCGAAAAGCAAGAGGCTCATGCGCTGTGTGATTTCGGTGCCCGTTATGGAACACCAGGTGGTCGAAATTACCGCAGCTCTGCACCACGGTGTTTTTAATTATTTTATTTTGGTATCATGGTCTAGAGACCCTGATAATATTATAGTACAGAAAAGCAGCAACTTAGAAACATAAACGAATAGTGTGAGCACGGCGCTGGAGACCACGAGAGAGTCCGTGAAGACACAAGAAGTACCAAATAGAGTGTTTAAAAACGACATTATGAAAGCAAACAATAGCGACAACGAAGCCTCAATCCAATCCAAAATATTTATTAAAGCAGTGTTCGTTTATGAGCGATCATTATGACGAACACCTATGCAGGGCTGTGCGAAGAAACATGGGTGAAGGAAAATTTGCCGGACAAGTGCAGACTTCTAGTCAAATACTAAAGACTAGAAAAACTCAATACGAAGAAACAGCAACCTGACATATGCCTACAATAAACGAAAAAAAACGATAGCTTATGAAGAGACTACTCTGCAAACGCCGAAACAACAAGGCAACTTACAGTGCTAACGCGAAACGCCCAGAAAATTAAAGGGAGAAAAACGATGAATATGCAGTGTATTTCGAAATAGTCACTGCGTTCTTTATGACCGGCAGAGACAAACCAATATTTTACTTATGCCTAACTAATGAATCAGAGTGCAGCAAGGTATTAGGAGTTTGGGTTAGCATCCACAATTCTACGATGGCAATATTCTATAAGGCAATAGCACCAAACGTTACCAATTGCAAAGTCATAGTGCAAAATCTTACACAAAGTTTCAAACAGTGAGAACTACGGAAGGAAGCCAGTGAAGGAAAAATTACTACAGCACGTGTGACCCCTCTGCATTCAGATACGGAAAGGCTGACAAAATATGAAAATAGAAGAAGTATTTTCGTATAGGTGACGTAGTGGCATTCTGTACTTCTTCTTCAGTGACCCGACACTTTCGCGTTTGAACTTCCTTGTCTTTACGGAAGTCTGACATCAGAATCGGAGACGTACACGTAGCGAATATTGGCGACCACTGACAATTGAACGTCAATCAAGGAAAATGCTACTCAGTGGCCTGAGCCTTTCCTTCACCTAAGGGCACAAAGTCCTGAGCAATAGAGATTTCTATTAGCATGTTACAGTTGACAAGATTATTTAGCCGGATTTTGCCACTCCCTTTATTCATCCGCAAAGTCTCCATAGTGTCGTTCAAGACTAAAAATCTGCTGGATTTAATTGACCTTACTTCGTGACCGCGCCAACCTCCACTATATAAAAACTGGCAGCCAAAGTAACAGCAGAATTTGATACCAAGCTCTAAAAAAGATATGGCTGGACTCTGCAGTGCAGCGATGTATGTAATAGTAATCCTGAACGCCATGTTCTGTGAAGTTGCTCCTAAGGCGGCAAAAAGCGTAAATAACCCCTACAACTTCACTGAGGTAAAATTTATTATTTTTTTTCACATATTCCGCGACAAAACTGGGTTGTTACACTTATAGCATCTCAGAGGTAGAGCAAGCATGGGACCGGACCTGGTACGGGATTGTTGGATTGGGCAAGCCCCAGGCCTGTGATTGTTGGGCTCGGGTTGGGTTAGCACATGGGTCAGTCCCGTATTAGGCCCGGGTCTCATATATATCAGTATAATGACGCGTGCATGCTGTTTGACTTCTTTGTTTGAACTTATTGGTGTATTTGTTCTATCATCTGAAAAGCTGACGCCTTCTGAAATGAAGCCTCGACGTGAATTACCCTTCTACACGGGTGCTAGCCCTGTCGAAAGTGGACTTCTTCTCAGCCATTCACCTCTTCCTCACCACCATAGTCGCTAGTTTTTCTTTCCCGTGACACACCTCACTCTCCTTCATTGTCACTGCCGTGAACTGCGAGCTTGCAACGACAACCGCGGGCCACCGACAGCCGGAAATCACAACCGTGTTCGCACCGAGGTCGTCGGCTATCGGTGACTAAGCATCCCGCGCTCGCCCAATCGGTCCCCGCGCGGGATCGCGCTCCGAAGACCATGTTCGACGGGTAGCGCTTAAGAAGCCACCGCATAGTTTATTTCAGTGCTTCAAATGGGACGAGGTTATAGCGCGAGAACAGAAGGACGGCCAAGAGGCAAGAAGGACTCTTTGGCGTCGTTCTGTTCACGCGCTATAACTATCGCCGCATCATTCCAACTAGCCCAAACTCCAATACTTCTAATGGGGAGTTTTTATCGAAACTCTCAGTACGGTCTTTCTTTCAGATATACAACACTTTTAAAGACAGAAGGCTCTTATCGATCAATCAATGAAGCAAACGAAAATTCATTTAGGATTCAGTACAGCCAGATATTGAACACGTAGTTAAAACAAAAGTCTTCTATCTAGCAGCTTGACGAAGGTCTTTGCCCAACTTCTGACAGCCAAAAAAGCAACGTACTATGCCCGTTAACGTCTGCTGTTATATACCTGCAATAAACATTTCTGCTTCGAATATGTACTTAAGCAATTAACAAAAGTAAATATATACATCAAAATTAAGGCATGACATTTGTGAATCAGATGGTTGGTTCGAGCGAACAGAAGGTAGGTATTAAAATGCAAAAAAGTGCATCACGGAAGCAGAAGTCATTACTGAAATCTGGGGTTGATAAGAATTCCACCGCTGCTATCCGTTGTTGAGGTGTGGGGACTTCGCCGTTACCGGCACCGAGGGACTCGGGAGGAAGACGATGACCATGAAGGTACTGACCAGGAAATCTGTACAGAGCTTTATTCTACATTATTTACAAGCAAGAATTTTTCGCCACTCGGCAAACATCCATACGAAGATGTCGTATACATCATGACGATCTCGTCGAAGGCTCTCTCGGGAGCACACTGCCGTTTTTTTCCTTCCGCAGTCCCTAGACGCCAGGCCTAAGGAAACGGGCAAAAACATTTTCAGCCAATCAGGTCACCACTGTTGAGAGTCATTTTGCTGGCACCACCACCAACACACGCACACACACACACACACACACACACACACACGCACACACACACGCACACACACACACACACACACGCGCGCGCGCGCGCGCGCACACACACCCACTTACACACACTCACACACAACCCCAGACAGGTAGTGTTCCGGCCACGCTGTCGCATCCTGGGAATCATGCTACTAGCAAACGGGATGTAACGAGTCCGTCGTGTCGCTGCTCCGGCTGACCACCAACACTGTCGAACAGTGGTCGCAGGCCAGGCAACTTCAATGAAATGTGCTTGGTCATCTGGCGTTGATTTGAGCGTCGGTGACCTCTCAGCCAGGGATGGACAGCGTGGTGGTCTGAGTTCCGTTTTCGGCCGAAACTCGGCGTCGTGGCCTCGGTGTACAAAGGTGCCACGTGTCGCATTTTCGCGCCGCGCAAGCGACAGCAGTGCTGCGGGGAGTAATTACAACCACGCGCCACCCAATGCATGAAAACAGCCAGGGGTCTTCGTGTTCCTCCTTATCAGCGGCTGCCTTTCTTCTGTCTCGGCACCTGCGACAAAAGCAGGCTCACCGATGAGAACACCATGTAGAATCGTGAAAATGCACAGAGAATTTTACAAAAGTGAGACATACAAAATTTGTATACGCTCTATGATGTACTACGCATTCGTATATAAACATACCAACTATGCTGATAGGAAAATAAAGCATGTGTGTAATTCAACTTCAAAAAAAGAATTATAAAGTTAACAAGAAAACATATAACAGCGATACGTTTTATAGAGACTGGGTAAAGCGCACTTGTCCTTTACAAACAAGTGCTTACCCATGTACCGCTTGAGTGCATCTTGAAGATTCGCAAATGCGAATGCCATTTCTTTTGAATTCATTGAGAAAGCATGCCACACGGTATGACAAGCTTCTAAATCTATATTTCTTGCTCAAAAAAGACATCAACTAATGGTCTATTTTTTCAATTGTTCTATGATATAGCTTTGTGTAAGGTCAGGTTACATAGCAACAAAAATATGAATGTTGCATCCGAAGAATTTTTGGAAAATTAAAGCTACGGAAATATTATAAAGTTTATCAAGCGGGCAGATATTAAAGGTGTAAAAAAAGCTGGTGAGTTGTGGTGCCATACTGAGCGAGCGCTCTGTCGCCAACACCGTTTTGCTGACGCACACTCAACCTATGTAAATGGACTTTTTTAGTATCATGCGATACTAGCCCTGTTGAAAAAAACGTCCGCCATAGGAGTGGTGGATACCACCATCCACCACTTTGGTGGATTATGGCGCTGGAATTTTTGATGGCACATTGTGTGTGGTGGCGTATGGTGGAGTGGATGGTGGATGACGCGCTCTAGCCGGTAATGCTGGAGCGCGAAGCAGCGTCAGAACAACCGTGACAAGCTTCCCACTTTAGAAGTAATAAAAATAATTCTATAAAAACAATGTAGAAAGCGCCCGTACAACAAAATATTGTGACAGCAGGGAAATTAACCTGCCACCTTCGCATTCCAAACTGAGCACACTCATCACAGCGCCACGCCGACAGATGTCAACTCGGGTGTTAAAGAAGTAGTCAATTACAAACTCACTGTTTAGTTTTAATACTCGCTTACTCGAGATGGACGGTATCTGCACCTTATAAACTTTGCACAAGAGATAAACACAAACAACTGCTGCCTGTAACGATTGCCACTGCGATAATGGCAACAGCCCTATGTTTTTGTTACAAATCCCAACCCGAAGAAAAAAAGCAACTCAGTGTACCGAGGAGCAGGTAGAGTTTATCGGTGGTTACTGCCAAGTTTATTATCCGTTTCTCGCTCCTTGCAAAAAGGTGATGTCTGTTCAGGATTTATGAAGCTTCCGTGCTAATTTGATAGATACGACCACACAATTGACTATGATGTTTTCCGCGCAAGGCACAGCGCAGTCGTGCCAGCGTACCACTGTTACTCTATCGTTAAGAATAACTACATAACGGCTTGGCCAAAAGGAATGGAGTACACCAGAAACTTTATGCTATCATATTGGTTCAGTAAGTATACGAATTGACAAGTCTGTGTTGACGACTAAAAGCCAGTGAAGTGCCGGCGAGTGTGACCGGCGGCGGTCGGTAAGGAGAGGCGTACATTTGGTGGAAGTGCTGCAAGCGCATCACATTGATGTTTGCCGCTTCTTGTGAGGACACCATACACAATAAAAAAGGCTTCATTTCAGTTGAATGATGGCACAGCTGTGCTATATTGTCATTTTTACTCGTCAAAATTGTGTATTCTGAAGCCCACAAGCGCCGATAACACTTGCACGGGCTCGGTGGGTAAAGCAAACCATTGTTGGAAATAATGGTGCGAAAACAGAAGGGTGAAAGTCCAATTCACAGGGGCTTGTCTCGACGCATGTCGAACTTTTATGCATATTCGCACACGCTTTGTTACCTTAAAAGTATGGCTCAAGCAATAGAGTGTGCAAGAATTTGCAGAGCTGCGTTTCTAGCGTGACGACATCAAGTGACCGCTGTGTTCTGCTCTAACATTAACAGGAGCGATTGCGAACTCGCGCTAATTTTTTCTCGACAACTGCGCGCCGATGTAAAACCTTGTCAGTGTTTACAGTGACACTTCTAGTTTTTTTAAACATCACAACAAAGAAGCACATTGCGGATGTCAAACTGATGTAAGTACGTGCGCGAAATGTAAACATAATCACGGCCGCATATTTTACGCTCCACGAAAATTGAAGCGTTGTTGACACTACTGGAATAAAAAAAAATAAGCGTGCTAGAAGCGTAATCAGCAGCGTTGTTTTTTTTACCGTAAACATATATATCCGTGCATTCAAGAATGAAGCACTACAAATAAGGGAATTCACAAGCTGCCATGCGCTTTTTCATCGTTTCATCATTATCCACCAAGCAACCATCATGCCACCGCCGTCCACCTCGCTCACTAAGACTTCCACCAAACACGTTTGCCTCACCACCATCATCTGGCATTTTCCATCGTCATCACCATTGCCTCGCCACCACCACCACCATCTGCCACCATTTCTTCCACTCTAGCCATCATCAGCCGGCAATTTAAACCGTCACCACCATTGGCTCAATGCCACCACCACCATCTGCCATCATTTTTCCACTATCGCCATTAGCAGCCATTATGCCCACTACAGTTTCCACCATATCCATTAATATTTCCACCGTATCCAATATTCTTTCCACCATATCCACCAACGATTCCATCATCCACCAACCCAGGATTTACAATTGGGAGTGTTACAATACATGAAGGGAGGGGAAAATATGGTGTTATGAATCATGCCTTGGATGCTACGTGGTAAAGTATAGCAAGTTCACAGAGAACTTCCCAGGATTTCGCTAAGCGTCTGGCGATATGATAAGCGTGATCATTTCAAAAAAAGGATTAATAAAACCTCTCAAGGTTTTGACGTTTGATGCAATT